TTAGTGCAGATACAAGACGCCTGATGAGACCTACCTGCCTACTGCACGTTGAGGGGTGCAGTTGGAGCACTGTGCTGTGCTCACTGCACACGGGGGAATCTGCACCCCACCTGGGAACAAGTGCGCCTTCCTTGGTCTGTACGAGAGCCCCCCAGCGAGCGGGCTTTAATGAGTACCTCTGCCCTACACGGAATTCTTATTGTGAGCTGACTAACTGGCAAACGTGGATATGTTAAAAGTAAGACCAGTAAGCATGTAAAAGTAAGATCAGTAGAAATACTCTCAGGATTGACCGTGTACAGCAGTGCTGTGGAGCGAACCAGCAGTTGCACTGACACCAGCACTCTACAGCTCACAGCAGGGTCTGCATTTCAGACCAACTTTATACTTAAACTTCCAGCTGCTAGAGTGCTCACAATGTTCAATGATATTTTCCAAGATCCCTAGACATAGCAAGTTGATACAAAGGCAACCTTAAATTATCTGTGCACATCTGGGTGCTCTCAGAGCCCGGTTCACAGCACCTCAGCCCCGGCACACACTGAGGCCCACACGAGGCCCTGAGGAGCTGTGCGGGGATTTCAGCTTTTCCCCCTCCCTGCTGCAGTCAGGGCAGCACCCAGCCCTTCCTCTCTTACTCTCCCATTCTGTCTATTTTCACAAAGCTTTTGTATGAAAGACTCTACGGAGCTCCCTCAAGCTGGTCCATGGCAGGATCTCCTCTGGGAGCTCATTCCACAAGCGAGAGTGTTTTATTTCCAGCTCTTGTGTAAAATATGCATTTGCAGTACACACTGCTGAGCATGCAATAGGTTAAACAAACTGATGATAAAGAATTCTACTTAGTTATTTTTCATTACCATAGGAAAACATCAATTACATTTCCTGTTTTATGAGTGTACACAAGGGAATCCATTACAATAAGAGAGAGCTTATATGGCTGTTTTTGCTGCTTCTTTGCTAAGCAAGAAGAACAGTTAGCTTTAAAGACAATGAAAGCAGCCCATAGAGAAGGCAGGCAAACCGGCATACCTGCACAGACAGCTCCTATCCTGATTTATCCAGCCTGACTCCAACTAATTAAACATCTGCCTCAACAATTTCCTCTGCAGATTTATCTTCTCCAGTACGCAGCACTGACTGTTTGTTACAGGCTTTTCCCTTCCTTGCCACCATTCACATAAACTTCTTCCCGTTTGTTATTTGGGCATGTGACAAGGATACAGCATTCCCATTAACCCCCTACTGGTATCTCTTGGGGGATGGGTCATGAGGCCCCTGATACAGTGCTCCTGTACAACCACATTCTTTGTGAAAGGACTTCAGGGGTCTGCTTCTCTCAGCTATGACACAAACAGGTGATTTTCCACGTGTGCTTCCTGTGGATTTGCACAAAATTTATTAGTTAAAAATTATCAGAGATCATACATTCAACGTAAAGCATTGCAATATCAGAAAAGGGTAACTGCAAAGAATATAAAATACTTTCAATTCTTTGCAGTAACTTTGTCTAACATATCTAAATAGAGCTGGACACAACAGATACACTTTTTCCATTTCTTTCATTGCACTTTCTATGAATGAAAGGTCGCAGCCCACTTCTGTCCTCATCTATTGACCTATATATTCCTGTAGCAAATCACCTTTGGTTTGCAGTTAGATTGCAATCAGAAGTCTTACTCAGCTTCAGTCTTTTCAACAAATAGAATTTTGAAACAAATGCATTGGTAATAGTTTTACAGCTGTAGTCCACCATGCAATTACATGAATGCCAGTGCACGTACTGAAACAAAACAGCAGCATGGGCTCTGCACCACCGTTCGTCAGGACAATTCTGTCATTAACAGCCTCGTGCTCCACAAGCAAAGGTTGGTCTCTCCAAGGACAGCAATGGCATTTTTCAAGAAAGAAGTGAAACTGAGAAGCTCAGGAGGTTATGGGCTCGCAGAGGTGAGGGCTCGGGGATTTTCAGGACCACGCAACACGATTGCTTGTTGAAAGGCTTTCCTGTAAGCTACAGGTTTCTAGCTGAATAAATAGCCAGGGAAAGCTAGTCTAATATCTATGCTCTCCTCCTCCCAGAAGAGCCAACAGAGGTTTGCACATTTCCTATAAATGTAGGACCAATTTACAAAGCTATGAACACCATAAATTCATTTGTCCTGTGAAGACTGATCTGCAGGCACGGTGAATATGCAGAAAAGCTCATATGCAGGGTTCATAATTTGGTTAGTAGCTCTAAGATTCAGAACAATCAACTTAGAAAAAAGTGTTGCTGAATGAGGAGAAATACTTTTCCTAAATTATGTCATCTTTTATTCAGAACTCTGACATCCTAATCCACTGCTTAATAATGACTTTAAAGACAAAGGCATGGGACCTTACTCTGCTAATAGTCTGATCTCAAATTCCATTCATCTGCATATCTCCCAGTGAAAGTCAGAGGTACATTCACTCCCAAAATGAAGGATTTGATGTTACATGAAGAGTGGTGACAAAAATCCTTCCGTGCCTGCTTCAGTCAGTGTGTGCATCCGGAGGTGTAACTGCCCTTTCATCTAGATGGCATTTCTATCCCGTTCTGCTAACAGCAGCACAAGGGGATGGAGAAAGGCTCATTCCAGGTCCAGAGGGCAGTGCAAGCAAGTGGACCCCTCTGTGCAGACACCTGCAATTTCAGCTGTTTTAAAAAACGACAGGCGAGACCAAAAAAATAAATTAAAATCTGCTGAATGATGAATTGCAGTAACTGGGAATGAGGGAAGTTTTGGATAAGGGAAGTTTTTAATAAAAAAGTTTAAGTTATGATTGACCAGTTTCATACAGCAATACCTAATCTGGGAGGTGCCACCACCCACATGGCACTGTCACACAACGTCAGCACTGCATTACAAGTGCTCACCAATACAAAAAAATACTAAATAAATAGCATTTGTTTTATGAGGCTCAGTAACATGGGAACTCGAGCACAACTCTCCCACAGCCACCGTGTGCCCAGCAGTGACTGCAGCTCACGGAGCTGACAGCTGCAGCTCTGCCTGCGTCCACCCACGAGCTTAAACCACAGCCTGCAAGCAACACTGCTGCTCTCAACAAAGTGAGAGTTCACAAGTAAACACACGTGGAAGTGATCAAAAAATGTTCAGCTGCGGATTCTGCTGTGATTTACATCCCCAGCAAGGATGACGGTCATGTTTCAAATAAGTGAAAAGTCACAGATAATTTATTTATAGAAACAAGATTTAAATTACTTCTTATATTATTCCCTCCCTCCAAAAAAAAAAAAAAGAAAGAAAAAAAAAAAAGAAAAAAAGAAGAAAGAGAGAAAGGACATTTATGCCAGTAAGTCCCTTTACAACAAAGGGTTTCTGACAAAAGTGCCACAAAAGCAGTTTATATATTAGCTGAAGGAATAAATGACAGTTCCATGCCTTTTCTAAATGACCAAACAAAATAACAGAATAACAGCAAAAAGAAATTTCAAATGGACAAAGGATAACATCTGTTACATGAAGGGGGAAAGTAGTTTAAATACTGAGCTAAGTGAATCCTCCAAATATCTCCCTTCGGGAAAAAGAAATCTGACCCCAAGAAATAAATAAAAGTCAACCAAAAAGTGAACAGAAGAGGTGTTTTTGAAAAAAACAGAACACCATTCATCGCAGCTAACGACTTGTTCATTATGAGTGATGATGGATAAAGACTTCTCACGCTGAGATGAAATCAAGATTTATATGCATTGTTTCCTCTCCCAACTTGTGGGAAGATCATCATCATTTAATTCTATCTCTGCGGCCAGTGATGGGCATCCAGAGAGCCGGTTATCAAACGGCGCAGTCAGCTGGCAAAAGCCGGGACGTGCAGTTGGCACATCTGGACGGAGCCGCCGCAGCCGAGGGTGAACAATGGCTCCTGGCCAGCAGCCAGAGCTCACAGCCGCGCAGGGCTCAGCCCCCGCGCCCCACCAGCAACAGCAACACAGCACTGCTCTGCTTTTTTTTTTTTTTTTTTTTTTTACGAGAATCAGATTTTCATTGCTTCATTCAATTGCTCTCCTCTGCCATTTTTTACAGCTCTTATCGTTCCCTTGGAATATGGCCTTGAGACAGCTCATCCGTGTCCTTCACTGTGTTATCTCTTCTAACTTTTATTAAAACTTCAGCTTTCATCTGAAGATAGCTAATTAAATCCGTGACAGATTATATACTCCTTTAAAAACTGCACCAAACTACCACTTCCAAACAGAACGGGGTTGATTTTCTTTTCACACAGTTAAAACTAAGGGTATATAAGGAGGTTTCATTCATTTACAAAGACAAGATCCGTATCTTTACCTAGTATACAGATAGGTTTATATTAAAGTTCCTTTGTTGCATGACAAAGCTCAGTGCAATTTCTCACAGTAATTATTCCTTGTTGCTGGAAAGATCTCTCAGCCTTCTACTTCTGAAATATATGTACTAATATATATGTGAACACATGTTTGTATCTGGGAAAAGCACTGCTGTAAAACATAAATGCCAGTACTGTCAATTTTCCTATTTTAAATGTGGATATGTCTTAACAATGATAGTACTATTTTGACAACTCTGCAGAAAGTCACTTTTTCTCTAAAACTAACAACTATTTATTTAAACTAGATCAGTTTCTTACATAAATTAGAAGTATAGCAATTCTACCTAGGACTGACCTTACTGTAATGCGTCCCATCATCTCAAGCCACCACTGGCTGGACTTGAGCACAAACGGCTTTGTTACCATAAAGAGATACTTGCAGTAATGGATACACCGCTTTGCAGCAAACATTATGCAGTTCCTCCACCGTCTGACTTCTGGCAGCATCTAGAACACAGACCTGTGCACAGAACAGCTTCTAGTGGTGCTGGAAATCACAATGCCCACTGAAAAAATGGTGCATTTTTCACAACAGCTCAGAAGTGATACGAAATAACCTCAGGAAAAAGCACACTTTCCTCTAAAAAATGCAACAAATAACCCACCTGAGCCTCTCTGTGATCCTTTCCTTCTCTTTAAGGCCTTTTGCAAGATATCTTTCATGGTGACCTTCATACTGTCCACCTGAATAAGTGAGAATCCATGAGCAGCATTTCTGCAAGACAGAGGTACATACATTTTTACAAAGGAATCATCATCAGGCAGCTCACTGCAATTTTTGTTTCTTTCAAGAAAAGTATTTCTTAGAAAAAGCAATGAAAAAAGTTGTGTTCTAAAAGTGAAGTTAAAAGGAGAAACCCAGAAAACTTCCTTTGAAAGGCAGACACAGAAAAGGAGAAAATGGATTAAGATTCAAGGCATGCAAGGATTTTCCTAATTTATCTTTATTTTTGATCAATTTGTGTTCATCATTAAAAAAGAAAAATGAGCAAACGTACACACCGAGCTCCTCCAGTACTCGTTATTATCTCCTAGGTGCTTTGCAGTGCGTACCAGAGAAACAGTTTGCAATGTCATCTTCACATGCGTCCCAATGGCAGATGTAGCAAATCATTAAGGAGAAGTGGAAGAACAGCACTCAGAGAAGTAACAGCAGCTTTTCAGCAATGTTAGCATTATTTTACACGCAACTTTTTGACATGTTTATGTAACCATTGTGGCACAAAACCTGGGGGAAAGGTCTCTGCCAGCAGGGCACTCATCCTGGCTGCGGCCCACACAGCTCCACACAGGAGGTGCAAAGCAGCACGCAGGTGGCTATGGAAGATCCCAACTGGCAGATATTGAAAGTGGCATCACTGGGGAAGCAGAGAAGATGACAATATAATAGAAGAGCTACTGGATTAATATATCAGCGGGTTTTGCCCCTTAGACCTTGCAGTCAATCTCTGCTCATGTCAGTAGATGTCACTGCAGACAGTTAGCACAGAAATTTGAGAGCTGCTAGGCACCCACAGGGAAAGATCTGCGCTGCACAGAAAAAATTGTTTTGCAAAGCTATTTAGACAGGAGGAGGAACATTTTATCTGGCAACTGAGAATTCTAATCAGGGAGCGGAGCTCTCTGTGTGCATCACAGCTGGAGTATTTTAAAAGCAACTGGCAGTCAAAAGCAATCCAAGCAATACAGTCGCATCATTAAAAACAAGAGCACATTAAATGTCACTTTCAGACACAAACGTGGGGAACACGAGTTTCAGCTCCAACAGCTCCAGACGCAGCCCCCAGTTCATGCTCAGACACGGCCAGGGTGGGCAGCGACAGCCCCCAGCCCGCACCCATTCCAGCCCCCGCTCACGCAGTCTGTGCTGCTCCTCTGCCCTTACGGACAGCAGAACTGCGAGCACACGTCCCCCTGCACCCACTCCCAGCACAGCACAGCAGGGCGGCTCTGGGCCAGGCTCCGCATGGGAGGCCTCATCCCGGAGCAAAAGCCTGACTCCTCGGCCTGTGCCTTTGCCATCAGTGCAGTACAGAGCCCTGGTCAGCGCTGGGCCCGCTGGAAGCTCTGCGGCTGCAGCCCGGCCCCCTCCCCAGCCGCCATCTCACCAGAATTTCACTCCCAATTCTCTTTGTTCCCAGAAAAATGAAACTGCCTAAAAGCCCCAAATGGGCGCTTTCTGGACCATTTATAACTCTTACACATCTTCAAACCAAGCATACCCAAGCTTTTCACACACCTCCTTTCTTCCCCGCTACCTCAGCCACGTGTTTTTTAGCACAGTGAGGAGCACGCCGTTCTGCATGAGAATACCATCGATTTCCACAGCTGTAAGAGTTCAGCCCTCGAGCCCCAAGGCTCAGCGGCTCTGGCTGATGCCATACAGTAGGCAGAGACCTTCCCAACTTCTCTCTGTTGATGAGCACATCTGTTCTCAGCCTGGTACTGTGAACGGCCAGGTGCCCGTGAGCTGGGCCGCACCGAACGCCTTCTGACCCCCCCGCAGTTGGTGCCCCAGCCCACAGCCTCACAAAACACCATGCCAACGGCTGGGCTGAGTTCAGTGGGTTGTTTAAGATGGAAATCTTCCATAGAACCACACTGTCCTTACAATAAGGAAACTACTCTTTCCCTTTTATTTAGATGACACAATGTTTATCTCCGAGCACTGGAAGCACCCAAAGGCACAGAGAGAAAGGCACTTGTGCCGCCAGGCAACTCAAAGGATGCCTTGCAGCACCACACAGTTTCCAGAGCGCTGCAACCGAAAGGCAGGAAAACAAACCAAAATACTGCAGAAAAAAAGAACAAAGGCAAAAAATGCCTTCCAAAAGAAGCAAGTCCTATTTTTTCTTTTTTTCCTTCAGTAGGAAATGCTTTTGCACTGAGGTTTCTCCCAAGCAGCTGGGTGAGCTCTCGTGCCACAGCTCCACCCGGTTCCGGTGCGCTGAAGCACTGCTGAATCACTTCAGGCTGAACACCGAGACAGAACTGGAACCTCCCAGAAATGGAGAACTGTCTTTCAGCTCCTGACACTTGATCTGTTAAAGACCACAGGCACATTTCAGTGCATCCCGACTTGGTCGATTCTTTTTATTGAGCAGCTGGCCTGAGAACTGTCAGCCTGATTTTCCTGACACTCTATTACTAAATCATGCCTGAGCCCCAGCCATTCTTTGCCTCAGAAGCTGGATCTCATCCCAGAATGATCTTTAAAAGTTTATTTTACCGATCAAAGCAAAATAAGAAAAACCTCTGGGTTTTACTATATTTAGTGTGCTATCCAGTAAGTGAGACTTTGGCAAGAGCAATGAAATGTAAAGCGCACTCAACATTCGTAAACTTTTGCATATTTGCTCTGGAGCACTGCCAGCACTGTTAGAATTGCCAGGCAGAATTCAGATCACCGTTCCCCCCTTCTTTCACTCCAGTTCACCTCCAGAGGTGCTGAGCACTCTTTCCACTGACGGCACAGCCTGGGGGCTGACGGTTGCTCAGCACCTCTGGGTCAGTGCTGGCCCTCGTCTCGTGCTGCAGCCCCACTGCCCCTCTGCTCTGGAACATCAGCAGCCCACGGCAACGTGCCTGCATGAGCTGTCTGGAGGAAACACGTCCTTGTGCACCATGCCAGCCTTGTCCTGTTCTGCAACAATGGTGTGCACGAACTGTCCTCACCCAACCTAACTCCAGCATTTTCTTAATTAACATTACAAATTATATATGTTGTGGCTTATTCTGCTCAACACCACACACTAGGAAGCAGAGCAGAAAAGCAGATGCCATTCTACCAATTAACATCGCTCCGTACAAATTAGAAGCCAAAGAGGCTCCTTAGCTTGTATTTTCTGTCATTTTGCACAAACATACCTGGGTGACAAGGTTAAATCAAGCAAAGGAAATCCCTGGCACTTATCATCCGCAGGCATTACTGATAAATTGTGCAGTGGAGGAATAAAGGATTACCTTCTGTATTTTTTCATTACACTTTTCTTTTGTTACAGAATACATAAATCCATTGTGGCACAATGTAATATGTATCATCGTGCTACACCTGTGGACGTTTCATAACGGCTGCCATGTCTGTGCAGTCAGGAATGATAAGTGAACCACCCGTGAATGTTAATGATAGTGATCATTCTGCGGTAACTTGGCTTTCCATCTTCTTTTACAGCCTGAGAGCTGGAGCCAGGGTGGCAAGGTTCAGGAGAGGAAAAAGAAAACAACAGGAGAGGCGATGGCTGCAGCAGGCACTGCTGGGGGAGGCGGCAGCACAGACACCAGCAGCGGCCTCACCGTGGGCCTGGATGGTGCAAAAAAAGAAAGAAAGACCTTTTTGAAGATGAAAGGCTTCTGGTCTGACCGAGAAGCAAACTTTTCCAAAAGCTGTCCTTCCAATCCATTTTTTTTTTTTTAAATTCTGAATCAGAATTTAGAGCACTTAAAGCTTGCATAGCTGGCATGGCTGAAAGTGTCCAGGAATAATGATCTCAACTTGAGCAACATAGAGTCCAAGTTAAGACTAAAAATCCCACATTGATGTAATGTGCTTCACTTAAGCTAAGGGAAATTCTGAAGATGAAGTACAAAATGATATGAACTAGAATGACTATGCCAGCCACAGCTTTAACTCTGAGCCTAAATGATTTTGCCGTTGTGGATCTAAGGATAGCCTTGCATAACCACGTGCTTCTGAGTTTAATTGGCCGCATTTTGACACTACTATGGGCTAACATAAGACTCATCAGCTTCCTCCAGTGCCTTCCTCTGGGAATGCCAACCGTTCCCATTTGCTCTCCTGGGGCCCCACCCTCTTCACACCTATGTTAACTTTCATAAATAAGCATCTTATGGATTTTCTAAAATACATTTTGCTAACTACCTATACCCATGTGAAAGCCTATAAGAGGCTTTTTCTTTAAGCTAAGTTACAGGCTTTCACAGTACATTCAAAGCGTTGAATTGAATTTGTAAATGTACTATGAAAGCCTGGTATTTTTTAAATGTTCCAAACCCTAATCTATCAGGTATAACAGTGGTACCGCTTTGAAAAAAATATATAAAATAGTCAAAGCAATTTAAACATACCATTAAAACAGAAAAAGGCACTGCAGAGCAGAGGAATCGCATGCCAAATTCCATCTATGTGCCAACTGGCAGCTGAGTTACAACTCCTAGAAACACCATTAGATACTGTACGTCAAGTTGTGATAATAAAATTTCCAAGGAAAAAGCCCTAAATGGTAGTACAGATTTATTTTAAGCTACCTTCGTTCAAAGTCTTTCAGGTATTACTTCATCATCTCAAGGAGTCTGCATTTACATGAATGCGGTGCTTTGTTTGACTCCTTCTGACAAATCATATTCGACATCAAAGAGGATTGTTTGAGAATGCCATGTTTGACATTGGACAAAGTACTCCTTCCCACAACAGACATTTTCCAAAAGCATAACTCGCTAGACTAATGGGCAGTTAGGAGCCAGAATGACTGCCCTCCGTCTTCTCCTTGTGTAACTTTGCCAGAGTCCTTGGAACTTGCCAAATTCGGTCATGCCTGCTTAGCTTGCTCGACTGATTGTGCCAGAAAAGAAAATAAGACACAGATGTATTTGAGCTCTTTGAGATGCCAGTAAGAGAGACAGCTAATGGCTTCATTTCGACCCTCCCCTACCAGCTGGGCACAGGTGGGGGGATAATGAGGTCCCTCTCCCTAATCAAACTCAATTATTTACTACTCTATATAACCACAAAGACATTCACATTCAGCTCAGAATATAAAATGCACCGTGGGCTACTTCCAACCACCGATACTGGGTATTTATAACTAACTCAAGTGACTACGAGTTTGCCTTGGCAGGAGTTTAAGTGTATAAAGTTCTGCAAACTGTTTCTGCTCAAATATGTCCTGCTGAAGCGAGGTTCCTGGTGAGGTTCCATAACTGTCAGCTCAGTGACTGCACAACATCTGAGAATATATCCAACACGCAGGATGGGTGAGATCTGAAATAAAACACCGTGCTTCATTAGGAAGCTTCTCAGAGGCATCAAGTTTTTGCAGCAGCGATTCAATATTAATAAACATTACAAGTCACATGCCTGACACAGCAGCAGCTGAAATATTTTAGAATAGGGAAGAAAAAAAAAGATGCAAAATATAAAAACATAAAACTACACACACTGGTTTGATGAAAGAGAAGGAAAGCAGGAAGATGTAGAATTTAAATCCCTGTAACAATGAGATGGTCTGTACATTTAAACACACAGTAGTAACAATCTTTTGATCAAGAGATGATCAAGTAGCTCTCTATTCTAGGAGACACACTAAAAATTCTAATGTTATTCTAACTATGTTAACTATGTACATGAGTACAAGCAATTCTGAGTTAACACGTGGGCACAAAAAATCTCTCAGAAAAGTACCTCTACTTATGATGCAGTTAAGCTATTTCTAATCTTCAGGATATGCCAAGCCAGAGCACAGGGGACTCACAAGAGCATACATCATGTCAAAGATTTCTTTTGCAAGCTTTGCAGATGGACCTTAGCCCTGCCACCAGCACCACTCAGAGAACTGGATTCTTATGCAAACTGAATGCCCTGCCCCTCTATGAGCAAGGAAAGGATATGAAATAAAAACAGGCTGAGGAAAGAAAAAGGTTATTTTCTAATGGTCAGGCAAATAGTCTACTAAATAAGGCATATTCATACTACATTTTCTTTTTCTTTGCTTCAGTGCTCGCACAGTACACAGGCTGGAGTTACACCACATTTCAAAGCAGTATAGATGTAACTCATGAGATTTTTAAAAGCCCCGTAAGATTTAATTTTTCTGAGAAGAGAATACCAAACCCTGGAGCTCTGCTATTGGCAGTTATAAGATAACAGAGCTGCCCTCTCCTGATGAGCTCTTTAGGACACTCTGAGTCTCTGAGAATTCCACACTGCTCTGCCACAACCAGAGCCATTCAGCCTACGGCTGCTTCTGTTCGTGCAGCTGCTGCAGGTCAGTCCCATGCATTTTTCTGGAACTACCCAATAAGCACCTTTTAATTTGGTGAGCTGCTTTTTGGAACAGCTGCACCAATGCTGGAAGTTAAGAGGCAGCAGACATATTTGTGCATAAAGGAAAAGGGAGAAGCACATCTGTGCAGTCACTTTTGGGCCTGCTTAAAGGAGACCTGTAAATATTAAAATGGGAATTGAAAAACCTCTTGTTAAAATCAGCAAACAACTCTTTGTATTTCACTACAGTACTTCACAAAACAGCAAATAAAAATATTACTTAAAGGATGACTTGTCAGAAAAAAATCAATAGCAATCAAATTCACGGCAGTAGCATTGACTCTGGAGAAAGGCATGTAGAAAGAGAGATTCCCTCTTTCCGATAAAACATCCAGCATTCCTCAGTCAGGTGGAAGAAATTAAACCCTGCAGTTCCACAGACAGAGGAGCCATTGCCTGCGCAAACTGAAGGGGGACTTGCAATGTGACTGTCAAGATGCTCCAGCTCCTCCCTGCATCAGCTTCCACACTGCTGCGTCCAGTTCAGCAGGGCTAAATATGTTTACCTTGAATAAATTATTTGTAAATACTGTTGACAGGATATTTTCTTTTCCAGTGACACAGAGCAGTGGAAGTGCACTAGCATTTAGTGGAAGTGAATGAGCATTAGGGAAATACGTGTGGAATTTCTGCAAGCTTCTTTTCATTTGAATGTCTCTAAGAAACATTTTCACTTTCATTTCAAGAGATACAAGCATTAAATACTTTTCCACTAAAGATGTGGCCGATGTTATCAGCGATTTGGTGAAATAACTACGGCCATCTGAGCTTAAAAACAGAGTGCAATAGTTGCATGTTTTCCACACTGACCATAGACACAACGGCCCGCTGAGCTCTGCACACAGCCCAGCACCACAGGCTCACCGCCCATTGCTGCCTGCCCCGCTTTCCCCCGCCCCCCTCAGCAGCACGCCTCCAGAGGGCTGCAGAGACACGGTCTGCTCAGTCCCGCTACACTCAGATGAAGAAAAATAGGGAAGAGAAAGGATGTGGAGGTGGTGGTACGGTTCGCATCCATACTCACATTCGGACAAAGAGCGACTGTTTTGCTGCCAGGCCAGGAGAGGAGTACTTTTCAACCAACGCCAGAGTGCTGAAGCCAAACTTGTGAATGGGCTCGTTGGAATCCAAGGGTGGGAAATCTGTGTCAACCTCACCATCGTCCTCAGCAATATGGAGGCAGTAGGCACTGACGTTCTCGCTGAAACAAAGCATGAAATGGGTCTGTTTGGGAGGGAAGCTACACGACCAGTTCAGTTCAGCAGATCAATGTCAGCTGATCTAATAAGCACACACACTTCATACAGAAGGAATATACTTAAAAGCCACTGACAGCACATAGGTACGTATGCCCCAAGGTATTTTGGTACTGCAGAGTAAGGCAGCAAGTCTCACTTCGTCAGTGATAGAACTGCAAGCAGGAGCAGCAGGGACTGAACTCCACTAAGGTCAGGAAGTGTTTCATGACTTCATAAAGCTGGAACTTCCCCACTTGTGGAAACTTGCTTATCTATATGGCTGTTAAACATCAGAATTAAAGACAAGCAGTGTCTCCCTATCTCACTCATTTCAAGCAACTGCAAAAAGAATCATTGAACATGCCCTGGAAAAGTAGGGGGCGCTCTCAAGATTGTTAGCAGTGCAGTAAACAAAAGCTAAGAAATAAACTGCAGGAAAAAGTAAAACCCTGTTCAACACATTAACAGTGACAGTAGAAAAGCTGGCATTTCCAGATATCTACAGCTCCCAGTAACTAAAAGCAGTTACAAATCTGTACAAACTAACAAGCAAGAGCCGAGTAACGCTGCCAGTTTTAAACAGAAACATCATGAGGAAAAAATAAAGGAAAATATAAACCTCTTTCCTTTCTACACACTAAATTCCACAGGAAAATAACAAAGTATGTACACAAAATACAGATTTCATTACTAGGAACATCTGATTAACACTGTCTCAAAAGTTAGTATTGAAACGTGAGTTGAAGGTAAGTATTCTCTTACAAACCTGCCGGCATTCAGGCATTTTGCACAGCATTAAAGTAGTGAATGTTCACATGGCAATATGTTTCTAAACTCTGCAGTTTAAATCTGGAGTTTTAATTGCATGATTGATGCTTACATTAATTAATTGCAAAGTGTATGCTAATTGTTTAATTGGTCGCTTGATCTATATAGATCATTTTTTGAATTAAATGAGTTGATTTACAAAGTTTATTGATTGGATGTGACAATGAATTATTTCGCTGACTACCTGATTTGCAATTTTCTCAATTAATTCACAAACCTTTGGTTGCAACTGTGCTTTATTGAGAGTGCTCAGTCCAGGTGATCTATCAGCACTTTGTCACGACTCAGATATTTATTACATAAAACAGGTACAAATGATGCGTTACTATAACGTGTGCTGTACTTCTGCTTACAGAAAGGTAACCCAGCAATGTTTGTCACTTTGAATTTTGAAAGTCATGCAATACTATTAAAAAAACTTTCATGAGCCTCTGGACTGCTCCGAAGAACGAACGCTGCTGCAGAATTAATTTTTAACTTCAAGAGCACTTAAGTGACTTTTTGGAAACTGATGAAAGTTGGCACTGGTGACAGAATTCATACAGAGGTAGGACTCTGAAGTAAACAGAGGAAGCATACCCAGGTGGGAGATGGCGTGCTTCTCATTGCTGCAAGTCTTTTCAGGAACAAGAGAAGCGGAAGAGGTTGTGAGTAACAGATGCAGCTGATCCTGCCTATGTTGTGAGAAGCACCTGGTGTGATTTTCAGGTCCTTCTCTGTTTCTATTTGGATTTCTACAAACTCCACGTGCTCATTCCATCCAGTCCAACATAACTTTGAAGCTACCCACCGTCACAGACCCTGCAGTCTGAACAGCCCCCTGCTGCCTGCCTTCCCACAGCTGTGAGCTGGGCCTTACACTGCTGTTTTCCTGACCTGTTTGCTTGACAGAATTCTTCTCTGTGCAGCCTGGTGTGCACTTAAAGCGCTGTATAAATCAAGCTAACATTTTCATTTGGTATTTGACCCATTTGCATAATTCTCATTAAATCCAAAACATACAGCCATGCAGGCAGCAAACGATGCTCACTGTGGCCTCAAACTGATCCAAGTGCCAAAAAAGGTGGTGGTGAAACCAACTTATCTTCCACCAATTATACTGAAAATACATAATGTCTGTTACATCTCATAAATTTAGGGGGTTACAGATGCCTTCAAATACAGAGTGCATTCCTGAACATTAACACAGATTGAATCACAACTTTGAGATCTACTTATTCTGATGAGAATTCATCTAAAGTCAAATCAATCCTTGCTAAAAGACAGGGCAGTTGGAAATGCTCAACAAACAAACAAACCAAAGATGGAAAAACTGTTGAAGACGAGAAATAATTAACAACTACATAAGAAAAGCTTCTTGGAAACTTGAGGCTCTACCCCTGTCTCAGAGCATTTGTATCTAGATTCTCAATTACTGCTGCTAGACCATCTTGAGGAACTCATGACTGTTACTTATTTTATTTTACTATTTCCGTCCTGAGATTTGATTACATCAGACAGCCTCCTCGATGATGATCACTCTCTGACACATCATAACACTTTATCCTTCAAGGCAGACAGTGAAATCCATTTCCTCCCATTGCTGACTTTTGCTGGGGGCACTTACATTTCATGTAATACTACTCATTGACATTGTTCCACTTGAAGTATGTTGTGCTCCTGAAAAATACGTGTGTGTCCAAAGATTGATATTAGCAGTATCTTAGTAATTAAAAAATAAACTAATCATACACAGGGCACACTACTGAATTTATGATATAATGAACAGAAATTATTAACAGCAAATGAAATAGCACCATCTGCAAATAATTGTATATTTCTTCTCCATTAAAAAAAAAAAGAGAGAGACCAAACCAAAGAGCTTAACCTCCAAAACATCCCATATGTCCATTCAGAATTGCTAAGAGAAGTCCTATATCAAAGCAACAACATCAATGAAACTGCTTTCAAGAGAGGTTGCTTTTCTGTCCTGCCCTATTTCTACTAACTGGAGATGAACTGAACCTCAGGATCCTAAAGAAGGGCAGTTCAGGAGACCTCTCAACACATTCCCTTTCCAATTACAACTGTGCTATAGCAGAAAAGAGAACCACTGAGTTCTCAAATAGTTTGAACTTCCTGAAAGAGCAGAACAGGATACCAAAGGAAAAACATTCATCAAACATTCCAGGAACAATGAAATGTGAAAACATGTCAGCTTATACCACTTATCAATCCAAATGGTCACTCTTCTTTGCACCTTGGACATTACCTACTAATAGCTTTTACCAGTAACTCTGTAATAAACTATTTTAAGGGGCTCTTTACACTCTATGACCCAGCAAAAATGAAGTATTTCCTTGTGTTTCACAGAACTGTTTTAAAAACAAAGTTACTGGGAGGAGCAGTACCTGCTTCATGCACTCCTTATCCAATGACCATGATGAACTAACAGAGACTGCTCAACAATCTTAGTTCTCCAGCACGACAAAGACAAACTGTTATTCACTCACAAAGAGTTTATTGCAACAAAGAGCAGGTAAGCAATGATTATCAAAGATTCTTTATGAATCTAGAGGAGTCCTCAGTGGGAGAAACAGAGGCAGAATGAGGGTACCTTCTCTCGAAATAAACAAAAGGAGGGATTTACAGAGGAGTTCTATGTTCCATTTGTCACTCTTGTGATCTTAGTCACTAAGAACAGTATAAAAAAATAGATGAGACATAGAACATGCCTCCATGATGCTAGAAGAGATAGGTTTTGTATTACTTTTATGCAGAACATTTTGAAATTATGATTCATTTATGGCACTATGGTTTCATACGCTTATCAATATACTGTACCCAGTGGTTTAACTGAAAGAGAAATGGATATAGATGTATGTGTATTTCTCAAAAGGAAATACAAATGTGTAGGTGGTTTCTCTACGATTTATCTACAAGAATATTTACATGAAAATTTATTTTGTTATGCAAAAACACTGCAGAGGAGAAAATTAGAGATCAAGAGGTAGTAAAGAAAGAACATTACTTCAGTTTTGGTTCCCGTCCCTCACTTGTATATTGCCAGCATATTAGTCCAATCAGGTCATGCACCTTGGCATTTGCTATCGTCACAACTGTCATGGGCTGCAGTTTGTCTTGGTTTGCATGCAGTGGGAGGTAGACATCAATTTTTTTGGTTGCCGTGGTACCAACATGGCCCTGTTGAGAAAATACATTTCATTAGAATGTATAAAGAAAAAGTATGACACAGCTAGTGCAAAACCTGGTACGGATAGAGTTCTCCTCACTAACAAGATCAGAATACCCCGCCACAACTTCAAACTGAAAGAAGTTTGAATACTTAGGTTCTAATTCATTTACTGCTGTGTAATGTATCTGCAGGAGTGATACCAAAGATTTGGCAAAGATTTCTATAGGATTTGCCGATTTCTATAAGAAGTCTGAACTTCACTGCAAGATTCCACGTTCTTACAGGAAATAAGAGAAAAAAGAAAGCCACCCACAGAAACTAACAGGCCTGCCTGCAGACACAAATGAATGAGATGTGAACCCGCGGCTCCGAGGCGCAAGCAGCCAAGCAGCAGCAGCTGGGAGCACTGCAGGCACAGTGCCTACAGGTGGGACGGCAGCACAGACCTGCTGCAAAGCTGCACCGTGAGCACGTGGCTAAGAACCAAACGATGCTTGGCCTCACTTTGCTCAGAGAACCGATCACACCTACAGTTGAAATCTTTTAAACAGACAAAAGATCGCACGTTCTGACACCCCTCTGGAAAAGCACCCCTGGTGTAAGCGTACGTCTCTACCTACGCACACATAGAGGCCTTCAGAGAAGAAAATATCATTAGAGTTATACACAAGGAGTATTAAGTAACAGAATAAAAGGATCCAAAACTGTAAATCTACGATGAGAGTATAAGACAGGGAGTTAAATGCCACGTGCTAATTTCAATATATTGTTAAAAACCATTTGATCCCTCAGCGTGATTGTAAATTAGAGAAATAATAGGAATTTAAAGATTAGAGTTATTCATACTAGCACAGCTAAAGTATTAATTAAATCCATTCAAATATAATTGTTGTTTTATTTTAATAAAGCATTTTTGTAGTGCGGCAACCTCCCCTTCCCACATTGTTCAGGTACAGAAGAAGTTGGATTTACCCATTTAAAAGAAAAGGTTAGCTTTGCCCATCTTCTGTGGAAGTCGCCGAGCCGCTACGTCACACCGTAGGTTTGGATCAGCCCTGACAAGGACAAGGCGGGGAGGCCGGCAGATGTCCGTGTGTGGGTACGTGCGGGGGGCTCTTCTCAATGTACATACAAGAGGCATTTTCTTAAACTGATCAGATTAACTCCAGGTTGGGCAGAGTGGGTGCTGGTACCGCAGCACACATCCAACCCAAATGCTTTCCTCGCCGGGTACCTTACATCCTCCTTTGCCCAACACTGGGCTGCCTTTTTTTTCTTCTTTTTTTTTTTTCTTTTTAAAAATGAACTTTCCTCAGTTCTTCCCCATCTCCAAATCTCCCCGGTCTCCCAGCTTTTAAGCACCCGCTGCTCCCCACCACCAGCAGCCTGGCTCTGGCTCCCTCTCAGCGTGGCCGCCGAGGACTCACCATGGGCGATTCACACCAAGGGATTCCAATCGCTCTTTGAGCACAGGGAGCAACACCAACAGTGCCACAACTGACCAGTGGGCAAAAGCATTATTACTATCGTCAGGATGTTTAAAAAAAAAAAACAACAATGGCGAATATTTCTATAAATTAAAAGTGCAATTGCCATGAGATTACAGAGGCCGAAGCCTGAGATTTAGAGGCTGATTAGACTTTCTATTAATAATGAGAACATTCGGTGTCACATTAGGTAAGAAAAATTAGCAAGGCCTATAAACACATGGGTCATGTCTTGGACTGATCAATCACTAAGTCAAAGGGCTGGAAGGAAACCTCTATTACAGATGGATGTGTTTTATTACAAATTGATTGTATTTGTTCTGAAATAGCCTTAGAAGTCCAAAGCACCAGGTAACTATCCACAGGACTGAACGAATCCATACTTAGCCTGATCCTGCAAAATATTAATTGTGCAGAAAGTCCCACAGAGCTCAATTACCACCCGTGCCACGCTGCTCAGGTCTGGCTTGGCAGGCAGTGGGACTGAATGGGGGGGAGTGGGCTGTTGGACTTGGAGTTGAAGAATCAAAGACCTGGTCACAATGGATTTAACTTCTAACAATGTGTGGGGCTTATACTGCGCTTACAGTCACTTCTGGAGGAGGGACCATTCAGAACCTGATTAAAGACGCTCCTAGAAGCATAATTATGTTTTTCTCCCAACTAAAAATGGTATTCCAATGTAAATGGCTGAGGAGACCCAGAAGATGAAGTGCGATTACCTATATTCAAAAAGGCAGCAGCAAACTTTATTAATAGATCCTGTACAAAATTCAATGGAAAATCTATTCAGGGCCAAGGGCCTTACTATTTGGAGTTTCCTTAATAGCTTCCAATAAATCTGGGAAGCATAAAGGGGCCGTTAAATTAACATTTTCCTGATCTGTCACCTGTGGCACCGTTAATTTGTCAAGAAATTCTTTTAGCTTGTCACTGGACACTGTATATTCTGACAAATGAAGTCTGGAATAAAATTGACAAAATATCTCGTTAATTTTCTAGGAAATCAGAAATCTGATTCCATTAAGCTTTTATTGTTAGCAACATTATATTCCACCAATCCTTTAAAGAAGCTAAGAGTAACTGAATACACACAAAACATATAAATCACAGAAAATTCTCTATTTTCATTAATAGATTCTCTAACGACTACGTAGCACTTTCATTCTGACCTTATGGCTGTTTTAGCTTGCAGTATCCATAACATCTTCAGCTCACCATAGGAACCATTTTTTACCATCAACCTCGTGGCACAGCAGTTCACGTGGACACCCAGCCTGAGACAAACGTGTGTGGATACCACTTCCCATTCCTGCTAACACAGTGTGCACACAAACGTTTCCCTTCGCTCCCTGCCTGCAGAGCTCTCCATGCGCTGCTTGCAACCCCAGAGCTCAGCACTGCCATCCTTGCTGCTGCTGGACATGAGCTGCACAGAGTTATGCCCATTATTTGCAATGCCTGAAAAGTATAATCTTTGGAATTCACAGATTTTTTCTTTTTTTTATAACATTAATTAGCAGATCAATGCATATTTTTGCACTTTGACAATTAAACATGAAAGCAGCAGCAGCTACAGTAAGCTTAGGAGAATTATGGTCATTAATAAATAAACTTCTGAAAGAAGATAATGGTAGTGGTATTTGTTGGGCTAATTAGAAGCAGCTAAGTGGCACCACAGCACATATGCAAGTTGCTGCTTCCAGACACGAGAGTGAAGAATATGATAGGTAACTCAAACCATGAATTTTAATAGGTTTTCCGCTTCTATTTGTAAGATGTAATGTTTAATTATATAAACAGTGGATACAGTTATAACAGGAAAACTGCATACAAAATGACCTTTGTTGGCTACCTACAGTTTTAGAAATATCTGACATCAAAAAACGTTCTGTAATCAAATATGCTTGAAGTATAAATATAATACTGAAAAAAAGATACTTTAAACTACCAATTCCTCAAACACAGGAAGTCTTTCCAAGACTTAACTTCTGGTTACAGTCCCTGAGAAAACACACACCTCTCTCCCACACCAGGCGCCCTACAGCCGAACGGGTCGCTGTGAGCCCCGATGTCACTGCAGCCCATCAGGGAGATGCCCCTCACAAGGACAACTCATCCTCAACACGCTTCCGAAGCGCCCGCATGGCGGGCCAGTCATGAAAGCCATCGAGAAAAGCCTGACTGCCGTGCCCTTCTCGCTTCTGAGCTGTTTTGCTGCACATCACAGCAGAAAATTAAAACAAAGTCCATAAACATTTCCTACAGAAGAGTGATTAATTTTCAGCAATAATAATTTACTGCATCTTCCTGTACAATGGAGTTCTGTGACTAAATGTTATATCACTTTAAGATGAGATGTTCTAATGATATAATGCAAAGATTTTACTGAATCATTATTTAGTGGGAGTCATAAAAACCTCCAAAAATTAATCTTTCATGCACATCTAGCTTATCCAAAGTTAGCATTTAATTAGATGGCCTTGGCACAAATGAGCTTACTACTTTATTTGCTCAATCAGTATATGTCTCTTCAGTAATTATAATTAATTCCAGTCATTGACTCACCTCCCAGCAAACAGTGCTGAACATTACACAAAATGGAAACAAATGCTTATCCTCTTACAAACGTAAAATTTCTTTTTGCTTTTAAACCAAGAGGAACATTCGTGCTTTAGGTGACAGGATAGGAAGTTTGCTTTACAGTCCTACACATCCCTTGTTCGTATAAATGTTTCAATAACAGAGGAAAAACACGAAGGGGAACAATGTTAACGTGAGTGAATATCTCTCAAATACAACTAAAGGTTCTAAGAGATCAAAGCACAGATGCTTATGGCAATAGGAAGGACTATATTTTTCAGAGATGACTAAAAAATGTAGATTTTCAGTAACTTCTTAAAAAAACAGAACTATTTTAATTATTTCTTCATCCAAAATAAGTGGGAATAGAAAGTTCATCTAAAAAACTGATGTATTATTATTATTTTTTAAACTTCAATGACCAAGTATCTCCAAAGCTGTCAGTAAGAATGTGGCCGAAACCCTTACGCTGCAGTGCAGGCTGACACCACCAGCACACGGCAGCAAACCAGGATGACGGATGCACGCAGCAGCCCCAATATCCGAGAGCCGCACTACGTGGGAATGAAAGGGAGTGCAACTAGTAGATTTTGGTGCGGTCAGTTAAGCAGCATCTAACATAATATGATGATTATTTAAAATAGAGTCTGTTCATTTCATTCGCAGAGTATCAGAACTGGAGAACACACTCAGCTGCAGGCTGGAACAATCCCAGGATCAACACTGCGCCTGTACGAAAATACAGGGCGCTTCTAGTCCTGTTACTCTGCTACGCAGCATACTGTGTGCAACTATGGGAAAATCAGAGTTCCATTTATTTCACCGGGTGGTTAACCATTATGGGTAATTTTCTTTACTATAGTAATCACACGATTACCTCTCTTTTTCTTAAGTCATTATGGAGAATGCCACGACTGAGGCCACCAGCACAGCACAGC